AATGTGGAACAAGCTTCAATCTCCCTTGTTTCATGCTAATATTGACAGGACCCACTCCCGACGGTGCTTTTAAGGATGGCGAAGCCGCAATCCCAACTGCTGGCCAACTGTGCCGGTCACATTAACAAGTCATTTACATTCATTTTTATATTCTTACTCCTCATTATGCAGTCACTCATTACTCTTCTCGCACTTCCTGCTTCCACACTGGCTGGATCCGTACTGTGGAGCGGGATCTCCGATTCTTCGCTGACCGTCGATGATATTGACAAATGTATGTACATACATGAGCCTCCCTCTCTCACCAAGACCGCTACTGACAGCTCCAGGGTCCTGGTCTAATCAGGTCGGTGCATGGCAATGGTACATTCACGGCTCTGGCAAAACGTCCGAGTATCTGGGCGTTTCCTCCGAGTTTAAGAACCCGGCGGCTGCCGACGCACAGGGACTGCGCATCACTATTGTGCGTTGATGCGAACCGTCATACATTTTTGCACTGCACCTAACCATGACCCTTAGGACGGAACCTCTTTCTGGAATGGGCAGACCATGGAGCGCTCCGAGCTCATCCCTCAGACCAAGGCTGATCTTGGCTCGGGCCACCTGTATTATCACTTTTCTCTTTCCACCAAGGAGACGAATCCCCCCAACCCATCGTTTGAGCACCAGATTGCTTTCTTCGAAAGTCACTTCACCGAGTTGAAGTATGGCGCATCGGGCTCTTCCGACAACACCCTGAGCTGGAACGCGGATGGAAAATCACAGTGGTCGGTGCAGCTCCAGGCAGGTAAATGGTACAACTTCGCCTACGACATTGACTTCGACTCCAAGAAGGTTGGCCTGTGGGCATCCAACGGTTCCGAGCCCTTGACTCAGGTTGTCGCGCCCGTTAGTGCCTCTACCTCCTCCAACTCCGCTGACTGGCACGTCGGACAGCTGCGTCTGCCTGGCAGTGAGTCCGACGACGCGGCGGAAGACTGGTTCTGGTCCGGTGTCTACGTGGAGGAAGGTCCTATCACTACTGAGATTGGGTCTTCAAGTTCGTCTGGCTCTTCAAGCTCCGCTAGCTCGTCCAGTACCGCTACCACTGCGACTGCTTCTGCCGCTTCGACCGCGCAGTCCGCTGCTCCTACTGAAAGCATATCAGCTAGCCCGACCAGCGCGGGCCCGACTACGGCTGCCACACAAAGCCCTGTTTCGACCGCCGTGTCCTCGAGCGTGACCCCTTCCCCCTCGACTGCGGCTCCCACCAAGAGCACTGAGGCGGCTACACCCACTTCCTCATCGGCGACTGCCTTTGCCAGCCCTACGTCTGCAGCGGATTTCCTGACTGATATCCGGGATCTTTTGAAGGTCCTCCTGTCCCGTTCAGGATCTGGAAGTGTGCATGCGCGCGACTTCGCCCCCCGTGGATGAGCAGACACAGATGGACCAAGCCACTTTGAACATCTCATCCTGTATACTGTGACATTGGAGCGTACGAGTGTCTGATGTAGTTTACACTAGAGTACCATATTATTCCTGTTATGTTTATAGATATGGAAAAGATGGTCATAGTAATAGATCACCCATCTTCCTTTGTCGTTTCGAACTTAGACAATAATGTCTAGCATTGGATAATACTCATCCTAGAGTGCCCTCTGCTACAGGACCAAATCCCAGTTATAACGCCTATGATCCGGTGAATGAGCCGGTGAATCTGCCTAGTTGAGGAATATACATTCTGCGTCGCATCAACCACAAATATAACAATTTCCTCCTTCATCGGCAATCGTATCTCCTCCGTAGTATCACAAAAACAACACCCCCCCGTTTGTCCCTAACCGACCGTGTAAGCATGGCATTTCAAACCGCATGATGGCCCAACGTTAAAGCTCACGGCCACAGCTGAGACATGTGTCCTACAAATGAAACATAACGATATGAAACCATTTAGAGATATTCCCGTGATTGAATACCCGACAGAGCCGACCAAATCAGAAGCCCCCAAGTAACCTCTCGATGTGTATTATCTGGAGCAATTGAGTAGAATGTTGAACTACATTGAAACCGTGCGATTAACTTAAAATGGCTCCTTCAGCAATGTTTCGTACTTGGTCCGGATAGCGTCGGGATCACTCCAGGCTGCAGCAATCACTGCATCCCGTTGTTTACACAGTGCAGGAGTGGCCACTACACGCCTGTCGCCCTGAGCGCGAGCTTCCTTCACCAACGCTGACGTTCGAGGTTGGCGCCTTTCTGCGTAAGCCTGGAAGAGGCTCGGGAGATCTGAGTCTAGGGATTTCAACTTCCCAGCGTAGTCCACACTTCCTGGCTCTACGCATGGCATGTATTGCATAAGGTGGTAGCAGTCCTCCCTGAAGCATGGTCAGTTCGTTGTCTCCACCAAGCATCCCAGAAATATGTATTCTTACAAAGCCTGGTTCGCGCCTTGTCCCAGGTGAGGCGTCGTAGGATGAGCTGCATCGCCGACCAGCACACAGCGCTTTGAATGCCACTGCTCGGGGCTTAATTCCTCGCGATCAAAAAGCCCAAACTTGATAATCCGGCAGGCTGTTTTGATTAGGTCCAACACTATAGGCTCAAAGCCAGCCAACTCGGAGGCCAACCTCTCGCGCTGCGTTTCGATCTCCGCCGGGCCAGACAGACGCCACGTCTCTTCGTGTGCCAGCGTTTGGGGAACCGTGACGGCCCACGAGGTCAGGCTGGTCGATATGGGATACGCGATAACGTGTTTGCCGTCTCCGTACCAGTTACAGAGGCTGCCACGTCGGAAGGTGTCTAGCAACTCCGGCGTGGGCGAGATACCCGCCACCTGCGCCAGGCCCGTGAAGGTCGGCATCCCCATGCGGATGCCTTGCATCTCCAGCATTGCACCCCGTGAGGCTGCCTTGATGCCATCACAGCCGATGAGGAACGAACCGGTTACCGTGCGCCCACCGTCGAAGATAGCCGTCACAGAATCCTCATTCTCCTGGATTGACTCCAGTTTCCACCCCTCGCGGAGTTCGATGTCCATGTCTAGCAATCTCCTTTTTAGCATTAAACTGATTGAGGTCCGTTTGATCCCGGCTGCTGGCTGCCCGTACTTGGCTGGGAAGCCCGCGGGAAGCCCTGACTGACCCAAGGTCTCCCCTGAGGAGACGCCATCCCAAAAGCCGGTCAGGGGTAGCGATTCCTCGGCAACTTCATCTGCGAGGCCAACCAAATTCAGAACCTTCATCCTTCAGACTAGGTTAGCTAGCTTTTTAGCCTTCGTAGAGTTGTATAGGATACTCACCCGTTTGGCATCAGCAACAGTGACGCTCCCGCATCTCCCAGCGTCTGCACCTTCTCAAAAACAATGGCATGGTACCCCTTGCGCTTGTAAAAAATCCCAAGTACAGGACCAGCAATTCCACAACCAATAATCAAAACTACTGGGGGGGCCATTGTGCCCGGAATGGTACCAGGATCTGATCAGGAAATCTCCTGCCTCCGTGTTTGCCGTCGACTTCCAACGCGCCACAGCCCTAAGGACCCCGAGAAAAGAGGCTATAAGGTATTAGAGCACCGCGTCCGTTATATTTTTGAGATCCTATTCCGATAACCTCAATAGAAGAGAGTATCCCACGTTGAAGACACGGACCCTCTCGACCTACGGAGTCTCCGGGGTCACGGAGTCTTAAGTTCTCTGTTCGGCCGCTCCTTGCCTATCGAAGCCGGTCCAACAGCGATAGACATGGCCAGTTGCGGTGAACGATGAATCTGGAGCGAGTGATTTCAGGTTATGACGTCGACAATGCCCAGCTGACGTGGCTTGATTGTGTTGGATGTCTACTCGCAGTTGCAGCGACAACGTTACCTTAGACCTTGCACGTTGAGGACACGGACGTGGAGAATATCCAATTGACCACGCGACACTTGACTCTCTATGCGTTACGCAACTCAATCGGAATCGTGGTCTGCTACGGAACTAGTGGTTGTGTGTAAAGAGGGATTTTGCAGAATACCCCGGAATGAAGATAGGTACCCCGGGGAAACTTGCCACCATTCCAAGGTCCATGATGTCTATAGATTCCTTCCCATAGGCACCAAGAGTGCGATACATTGAGCAGGGGCTTAAGTACTGGAGGGTGCTAGCTTGAATTCAGGCTTATTGCTGGCAGCAGGGTGCCTTGAAAGAGACGCCGATTCCAAACGGCCATGCAGATTCACTCAATCAACATAAATCACACCGCCTTAGTTGCGGCACACCGCAAGAAGTAAGGGTTGGCATCAACGCTGTCCAGTGCGATGCTTCACCTGACCCTTAGCACCATTGGAATGTAACGCTTGGACAGGGGGACTAGGCCTCCTGACTCATGGCACAGACCATCTGAACTGCATCAGCTTGTGTGTATGGACAGCCCGTCCGAGTCGTGAAGTATAAACGGCAAAGTGATATATTGTTTTTATTATCCTCGTGACGGGGGTTGGCATGGATCATATGTGTGATGATATCACTGGCGGTATAGTGGTGGTGTCTATTGATCCTTCTGACGACGCCACATATGCCTCTTACTATAGTTGCTGATTTGTACCGTTGGCCGACGGTTATACTCGCCGGCAACTACAATGTGGTTATTCGGTCCCTCTGAGGTCTGGTGAGGGGCCGTAACCGTGGATATATATATTTCCCCTTTGAGTTGCGCGAAAACTGGCCAATACAGCTCCCTATCCAGGGACTGTGGATGAAGAACTTGATGAATATATAAAGGAGACAGGCGAGTGCACCTGAGGGTGTACCAATTAATAGTTTAATGTTGACCTCGGCGTTGTGTTGCTGCAGCTATTACTTCCACGAGGACGACGATGTAATAGCAAGGAGTTAAATGCCAATATATTAATGCATTATAAATAGTTTTAGTGGCACAACGCTCTATACTTTTCCAACACCGTCCGTCTGTCTAACTCCTCTCACCTGTGACCAGTCTTAACCCAGCGTACTCGAAACACCCAGGTACTGTCGCCTAGGAATCTCACTTTTCTTCCATAGAAGATGTCTGCTCTTTTTGAAATCTCTTCCACACCGTTCCCCTCATGCTGGGTGGGATCTCGATTGCGAAGACACTGAGCAACAGCGCAATGAAACACAAAATGACACAACTATAGTACGCACTCTGGTAGCCGATGCGACCGTATGCGTCCTTCGGGAGAGATGGGTCCCCGTACCGTCGCTGGATGCCCTGTGCAATGGCCGTGATGACCGCCAGACCGAGAACCGAACCGCCTACCTGCAGTGCCACATTGAACACCCCGGCAACCGCCCCCTGGTCGGCTCGAGAAGCGGAGGAAACGACGACAAAGTTTGCCGTGATGTAGACGGCACCGATTCCGGCAATATAGAGGACCATCCCGGGAAAGGTATACCGCCAGTACGAGGTATCATGGTCAATGAAGGAAAAGAGAAGCACACCAGGAATAGAGAAGCCCCAGCCGAGGATAAACTGCCCCCCTGCTGGTTAGCAAGTTATGTTCTCGCCTCGATGGCAGCGGAAGATCGCAGGAGGAATGGGCTTTGGGAAACATACCATGAGGCGAGCACCCAGGATGGGCACCAGTCGACCGGACAACGTGTTAAAGATGAGGGCACTCACTCCCAGAGCGATGAAGAGGACGGAGGTGTGGATGGCACTGTTGCCGTAGGACTGCAGCTGGAGGGTCAGGAAGTAGGTGCACGCCTGGCGGACCGCATACGTATTCACCGCCAGCACGAGGGTGAGGTTAAAGGAGGTGGAATGGAAAAGATGCGGTGCAACGATCCCGTTGGCAGTCCGACACTCATGGAAGACGAACAAGGCGAGGAGGACCACCGAGATGACCAGTGGGGCCACAATTCGCGCACTCCCCCATCCTTCTGTATTCGCGGACGTGAGCGCGTAGGTGAGGAGCAGAATTCCCGCCACACTCAGCGCAATGCCCAGCGGATCAAAGCGGGTGACAATCCGCTGGACGGCTGCAACCAGGCGGTTGGTAGGAGCGGATGGTTGCCCAGTCTCCAGGTCACCCCCCGGGGACGCCGCCTCGTCTGCTGGTGGACGATCGGGTCGTGGGAGGATGAAAAACGCCGCGGGAATGATGATGCCGGATAGAATGAGCGAGATCCAAAAGATCCATCGCCACCCAACATAGGCAGTCAGGACACCGCCCAGAATAAGACCGATACTCGTGGCATGTTAGGGAGGCAATGAGGGATCAAAGGTGGCCGACTTACATGAAACCCAGGGATCCTGAGACCCCCCAGAAGCCCAGGGCCTGGGCCTTCTTTGCGGGCTCGGGGAAACACACCGCGATATGGGCCTGCGCCGAGGGAATCGTAAACGCCGCGCCAATCCCTGGGATCTTACGTCAATGCTGGGTCGCAACGGTCAGATGCGGATCGGAAGAGCCTACCTTGCAGGGCTCTGGCCACGACCAGGCCAATGAAGTTGGGGGCGAGACCACAGACCATGGTGAACAGCGCGAAAAAGGACATGCCAAAGAGGAGCACACGGTGGTGACTAGTGCGATGGTTTGCATTAGCACGCATGATGTTGTGAATATCTCCGAGAGCACACTTACCCAAACAAGTCACCCCCTCGGCCTCCCAGCAGCAGAAACGCTCCGAACTGAGGGATTTAGCACGCAGGCCATGTCCAATGAGGTCCCATGAGTGCATGACATACCGTGATCGAATAGGCAGAAATGATCCATTGCAGATCGCCCTCCGTAGTGCCCCACTCCTTCTGTATTGTCGGAAGGGCGATTGTGATGGCACTGAGATTGGCAAGGTCCAGAAACATCGCCGTACATCTGTGGTCGTTAGTCGGGGTCCGACTCAACTGCTGATGGAACTCACACGACGGCGAGAGTCAGGTAGGGACTTCGGCTTCCCATTTGGTATGGGACCGCGCGCAGTCGCGTCCATGGTGCTGTTCCCATGTTGTGAGAAGCCCTGCGGACGCCAACAACAGACACAATGTCACAAGGAGAGGAGGAGAAAAAAAGAGAGTCGTCTCGTATTATGGAAGAAAGGAGTCCAGGGAAGCGATTATGTACATGTTGCCCCTTTACCAGAGATTTCATTCATCATTTGCTTTTTATTTCGATTTTGAATGTTTTTTTTCTTTGGTTGACAAGGGCTTCTGGTGGAGTTTTACCCTATTGCTTGTCACGGACTGCCCGCGGATCCTCCGCGGATCCTCCGAGCCCTCGGACGGTTGTTTTGTCGTACGTACCTTTGCGGCTGTACGTAACAGTTTGGTGGCCTCACCGGACGGAAATGGCGCCAAATAATAACCAGTCGATCACCCACGACCATGAAAACTCAATCGGATGCTTATACGAGTGATCTACGCGCTGCAATCAGAGCTAGACATCCGGGAAACGCAACGGAGAGGTATGGAAATCACATAGAGAAGACACATGTGCTTCCACGCAGCAGTGGACCCGGCCTGAACCAGTTCCACCACGGACCAAGACCCGCGAGTTGCCAAGTGTTCATAGACATGTCATTGTAACGGTACTCCACTTGGCTAGCAGGGAGAAAACTAACCTACTCGGTTCCTCCGATTGGCTGCGGACGCTGCCCTCGCACGTTCGATGCATTCCATGAACGGTAACCCTACTAACTATCAACAGCGAACAGAGAGGCCAAGACAGACAAAGGGAGACACTGATGACCTCTTCCTATATATGACCATGGAGATACCAATCGAGTTACTGGATGTGTGAAAGAATTTGACAACTCTCGTTCAAACAAGCATGTGGATTGCCCGGGTGGCGGACCATCCGTTGATCTTCGCTCCCATGAATCATGGTGGGTAAATCCTTCAACGCTAAGAAAAGCCCATCAGATCTAAGACACCTACCATGGTACGTTCTGCGATGCGTTTGGAGTTCGTTCAGCTGCCAAGAGTGCCTTGTTTCAAGCCACCTGCCTGATATTCACGGTGCCTGTGCCGTCAGCAAAGATGACAATATATCGATCACAACGACTCAGGAGCGATGCATTTGGGTAGCCTTAACAATTTTCAACCCTCTAGCTGGGGCCAATCTTTATATCCTTACTCCCCTCTTCCAGACCCCCAATGCTCTATTTGCCCAACTTGGGGTTCTATGTCTAGCAACCAATCCATGTCAGAAAGCTTCTGGGGAGATGATCTATGAAGGAGGACCAGGCAGTTCCGGTATTACGAAAGTCTGTTAGGCTGAGTTCGACAGGAACAGTCTTGCATGCAGAGCCAAGCCGGTCGAACTTTACTAGCGTCCTAATATACCATTGAAGCACATCTTCGTCTTTTAGCGCAATCCTTCACAGTGGAGCTTTATCCTCCACAAGGTTCATTGATGCAGCCAATATGGGCTATACTGGCTATGAGCATTCTATTCCCATCTCCAGGGAGCGTCTAGCCTAATCTTTACAGCGGTAAGTATCAAGAGAGCTCAAATCAACGACAAGCCAAAGATCACCAGCCAAGGAGGGAAGATTAATATTACCTATGGCCTGGCTATAGCAGCTGTGGCAATGGCCTGGTCTTCAGCCGCACAAACGTCCCAGGAAAAGGATTTAGAGGTCCACATGTACCGGCTGAGGTCACTGATGAATGTCAATGGCGCGATCTGAAGATAATCATTGCCAATCGCCACTGGGAGGGTTGCACCGTGCCCACTCTGACAGTACCCACTCGCCAGACCCTCTATTCTAACCCCCCTGTCATATCACTGTGCGATATGGACTGACACATCCACGTTTGAAGAACATCTCTGAATGGGCTCCAGACCGAGATTGATATATTGGATTGTGGAACCATTACGGTTATTACCGGAATACCACAACGCAGAATACGAGAAGAGATTGTCCTAATCCCTGTGAAGGAAGCTAGTGTCCTGCAGTGTTATGTTTAGAAGCTGAGTATTGTCTACCAGGCAAGGCAGCATCCCTGCTATCCTTGTATACGAGCTGAGGCCTAGTCGTTGGACGAGCAATTCATACAATGTCGTGCTCCACGGGAACATGGAACAACGACGCATGTGGCAACGTCGAGGATATAAGTAGCCAGAACATTGCCAGTCGATAAACAAAACAACAGATACTAGGACCGTCGGGACCGGATACTAGTACATGACTAACAACATAAGTTCTGTTCATCTACCTAGTTTACTTCATCATGACTTCCCTCACGCCCATGCCCTTCCTTTCTGGGCCAGCCATGATGGCAAACCGGGAGCACTTTCGGAGTCAGGAGCCGGTTGGAGATCTCACTGCCGTCATAGCCTTATCAAAGGTTCAGCAAGCTTTGTGGCTGGACTATCTCCGTCGGCCCCATGCCTCACATTACCATCTGACGCTCTTTCTCAACTTGGAAGAGCTCAACCCGACGCTAGACAAGATCTTGCAAGGTATCTACTGATCCACCAATCCTCACTACAGCCCTCTAGAACTGTCGCTAACACAAAGAAGTGATCCATGCTCTTGGCCAACAACATGAAATGCTTCGAACGACCTTTCACCTTGATCACAGGTCAGATGATATCAACCAGTCTTACATGGCCGTCCATAGTCCTGTCGGCTCTTTCCAGAAATTTGAGATTGTCCAGGACCCAGATAGTGTATCCTCAACCCTGCGTCGGAGCTTTGATCTGAGTACGGAATTTCCAGTCAGATGGGTTATCTTGCAGAAAATGTCAGCAGACAATGGCGTTCTCCGATCACACTATGATCTTTATATTGTGGGCCACCACATAGCAGTGGATGGGTCGAGCATGAGCTACCTGTCTCAATGCATCTTGAAGCAGCTTGATCCAAAATTGAATAGTTCCACGGACACAGATGCTTTGCCTCACTCACCAACCTACGGCCAGTTTGTGCAGAAGCAAGTAAGATACCTCGCATATTCACATACGTTGGGGTAGCTGACATCAGGGACGCAGGATGCATTTCTTCGAGGCCAATCTGTGAAAGCTGCGCAGGAATTTTGGATGTCCCAATTGACACATACTGTGCCGTTTGAGTGGGCGGCACCAAGGCCTAGCGAGAATAAGGATTATCGAGTTATGAATACTTGGGCCTCATTTACAAATCAGGAGTTGAAGGCTTGGAGCAGCTTGTATAAAACCTCTTGGTTTCGCATCGCCTTCTCGATAGTAGGATTGATGACATCGGGGATCGCCAAACCCACTCCACACCACGACCACGCTCTTCTAGTCGCATTGGGTGGGAGACCACAAGGCTACGAAGCCTGTGTGTCTCATATGGCGAATACGGTACGCTGCCCGGATCCCAGAGGAATCGTATGTCGCCCAAGCTGCTAACCCTACTACTAGATGCCAATTAGAACTCCTGTCTCGTCACTTCTCCAGCGTCGAGCTACTTTTGTCGATGCAGTCAAAGAGATGGGCCGCTCCATATCAACCGCCAAGAAGCATGAGATGTTCCCCTTTGTGTCTCTTGTTGAAACGGCCAGGGAGACTATGAGCGACAAGATGCTGGACTTCAAAGTGTCCGTGACTTTCTCCCCGAAGCTAGCAGACGATAACTGCACCATCTACCCAGTTGAAGGTGTTTGGGATCTGTTTTTCTGTTTCCTTGAAACCCAGAATGGGGTCGATTTGGGTGTACGTGGGCCTGAATGTATTACACAGATAGCCTACATGGACTGACGATGACTAGGTTATAAGCAACCCAGCGGTGTTTGACTCCGTGGCGATCGAGACTATGCGGACGCAATTCATGGAGACCGTCAAACTATCGCAAGAGAATCCCAACTTCCATGTTGATGAGCTGCCTTATCTCCAAGCCCATACTGCCGCCAACATCATTTCCGGACCTACAGTAGATGCTGTGGACGCGATCAGCGCATCGAGGGTGCATACGTGGATCGAAGCTCGATGTGCCGCTCAGCCAGATGCCGTTGCTCTTTCCTGTGCTGAAAATAACCAGCAAATGACATACGGTGAGCTTGATAGGGCGACGAACAAGATTGCTCATTATCTGTGTGACAAAGGAATCGCAGCAGGTGAGACGGTGGCGGTGCATATCGATCGAGGATTCACACTTCTACTATGGATCATCGGTATCCTCAAGGCGGGAGGCTGTTTCGTCGTGGTCGATAAAGGATTGCCCACAAGTCGCCGGCAGTCAATTCTCCGTACTTGTGAACCCGCTTATCTCGTCACCGACACTGCCACAGCTGATGAACTTCTGTCGCATGTTGACAAGGCCCCATCAGTCATTGTATTGGATGCTCTATTTGAGGGCGAACTTGCGAGCTATCCACCGACACATTGTAATGGGCAGACTACAGCAGATAATGACTTGGCATACAGTGAGTAACCATATATCGCGCATTTCTCATTCCTAATTATCCGGGGTTCCTAACTTGTATTTACCAGTGGTCTTCACCTCTGGTTCTACCGGACAGCCCAAGGGCATCATGGTGGAGCACGCGAATGTGGCCCACTACGTAAGTGCAGCTCGCAGCTTAGTCCATGTTGGCCCTGGTAGTAGGGTTCTCCAGTTCGCCTCATTCGCCTTTGATGCATCGATACTTGAGTGGGCGGTCACGCTATCCTATGGCGCTACTCTTTGCTTCGTTGAGCACCCCAGTCTGCTAGTTGGCGATTATCTAGCCGACGTCCTGGAGATGAACCGTATCAACTTCTTCCATACCACCCCATCAGTGCTCGCAACTATTCCAATCAGCAAACCGCTTCCGAACTTGAGGTTAATCTCCGTTGGGGGGGAGGCATCCTCTGCCGGATTGTTACGAGCATGGCGACGGAAAGTGAGCCTCCTACATGCATATGGACCAACTGAAACCACGTAAGTTACCTTTTCCCTCTTGTGTATATTTTCTGTTGGGGCAACTGCTTATTGTACGATTGCAGGGTGATCGTCACCTCAGAACCAATCCCCGAAGATCCTGAGAGTTCGGAGAGTCCGTCTCCTTCTGTGATCGGCAAGCCGTTCCCAAATTCCGATGTCGTGATCTGCAGTGAAGGCTCAGATGTGCCTTTGCCCATTGGGGAAACGGGCGAGATTTGCATCTTTGGGCCCCAGGTTTCTCGGGGATACAAAGGCCAGGACGAGCTCACCGCCACCAAATTCCGCACAATTGAGCTCCACGGTCGCACCGGGCGTCTTTATCGCAGTGGAGATCGAGGCTCGCTGACTGCTGACGGCAAAGTATTGATCGGTGGTCGGATGAACAACCGGGAGATCAAGCTCCGTGGCTACCGCATGGACCTGTATGAGATCGAGAAGAGCATTCTGGACCACAGTCCGGAAGTCATGCTGGTTTCTGTACAAGTCATGGATGGCTCCCTGGTTGCCTTCGTCACTCCAGAAACCGTCGATTGCAATATTGTCCGCGGGAGGCTGATGGAAGATGTGCCCTCTTACTCTGTTCCCACTAACATCCATGCTGTCGCGGAGCTTCCGCTGAATACGAATGGCAAAGTTGATCATTCCGCGGTGGCCGAAAAAGTTCGCATTCCTACGGCCGTAGTATCCAAACCTGGTTCTCTGCCCACAACCCCAAAGACACCGACCACCAAAGCGAAGGAGAGGAAGCTTGATGCTGATCAAGTAAGGGCTTCTTTGGCGTCTATCGTATCCCTAATGTGGGTCGATGTCTTAGGGCTATCCAAGCCCCCCGCGGAAGATGTCAATTTCTTTGATGCTGGTGGACACAGTATCCTCCTCGTGCAGCTGCACAAGCGAATTAATGAGCGATTCCCCGGGGCTGGTGTCCGCCTTCTGGACTGCTTTCAGCAGACAACTATCGACAAGCAGGCGGCTTTTCTGGCAGGCCTCGTCAACTTCGAATCCAGTCCCCCTTCGACATCGTCCACAGATATGGGTCCTAGTCCCAGCGCATCCGGTACTTCGACTCCTACATCTTCCATCGGCTCATTTAATCGACTAGATGAGAAGTTCGCGGTTGTTGGCTTGGCTGGCCGCTTCCCTGGCGCGGACAATATAGAGCAATATTGGGATCTTTTGATGGACCGCGGCGATGGAATCACCACCACACCTAATGCAGCAGCCCATGGCAACTTGGACATTGATACAGATGAAGTATTTGTTCCCCGCTATGGCACTATAAATGGTCTAGATGACTTTAACCCTGGTGACTGGGGCCTCTCAGAGGAGGAAGCAAAGACTTTGGACCCGCAGGTATACATCCCCACCCAACGTCGGTTACCGACCTCAACTAAACTCTTTATAGAAGCGCATATTCCTTAATGTAGCATCTGAAGCGCTGATAGATGCCGGCGTCGAACTGTTCAAGAAAGAGGAGAATAAAGTCGGAGTGTTCATTGGTGCTGCTGCCAATTCGTACATTCATGACCCAAATACTCCGGCTCCCTGCTCTGCATTCAAGCGGCGATATCGGACCCTCCTTGACGAGAACATATCCACGTTCACTTCGTACAAGCTCAATCTGACGGGGCCCAACGTGACGCTGAATACTGCCTGCGCCAGCTCTCTTGTAGCATTGCATGTGGGCTTGAATGCACTCCGTGGTGGTGAGTGCGAGGCTGTCCTCATTGGCGGAACGTCGGTTGTGTACCCTCAGGAAGGAGGTTATATTACATCCCCTGGGCAAGTCTTCTCCGCCAGCGGCGAGTGCCGCCCCTTTGATAGCCGTAGTGATGGGTCTGTTCCATCTGACGCTGTCGCTGCCGTGGTTGTGAAGCCCCTACATGCGGCCGTGCGAGATGGAAACACGATTTACTCCGTCATCGAGGGGCATGCCGTCGGTACAGACGGCGCAATAGATAAGGCTGGCTTCACTGTGCCTTCCAGCACTGGTCAAGCTCGCACAATCGAGCATGCCATCCAGTCCAGCGGTATCTCGGCAGAGACAATCAAGTACGTCGAGATGCACGGATCAGGTACTAGCATGGGAGACGCGCTGGAGCTTGACGGTCTCCGCAAGGCATTCGACTCCGTCAGTGTTCCACATGGCTCCCGCATCTATGTGGGCTCAAACAAGGGCAACTGCGGCAACTCGGAGACTGCATCTGGCTTGATGAGCGTCATCAAGGCATCTCTGTCATTGGCTCGCGGGGTGGTTCCTCCTCTCCGCGAGCTCGGTGAGACAAATCCTTCATGCGACTTCACCGGCCGATTCCGTCCATTGACAAGCACCCTGAAGCTAGATGCTGCCGATCGAATCGGAGTAACCTCACTGGGTTATGGAGGTACCAATGCCCACATTATTCTTGCCCCCCCGGCGCAGAACCGGGTAGGGCCCATGAACTGATGAGTTATTCATATATTGTACTGAAGTGCTGGAAGGCTAGAGCTAGAGCTATAGATATTGTCACGAACCTCGCTATATTTTGAAATAGACCCTGCTTTTTGATTCAATGAACCATTTACCTCTCATTCCCTGATCCTCGCCCGAGACCTTCGTAATAGTACATGAAGAAGGACCACAAGCGGTTATATAATCTGGCTGTAAAAGGCCCTAACAACGTTGTACAAAGTTCCCGACCGGCTAGGTTTGAACTTTTAAACGCGAACGCAGCCCGAAGGCCACTTTGGTAGGCTTTACTCTATGTTCAAGTAACATGATCGTAAATGCCATTGTATCCTCTTCAGGCAGCTTGGGAGTGCGATAGAGGTGCTTCGGCTGCCTCACCTTAACTTCGACCATGATCAGTATAGGGTAGTCTTTATGAACCCCTGCGGCCAGGCGCCATTAGTCGGTATGTATAGACACGGCAAATTGTGGGCTGGACTCTTCTGGTATCAGGTCAAAGGATCTGGGGCCTTCCTCATTGTGGGTCAGTGGTATTAAATCAACCGTGCCCAAACCTAGTCTCGAGTCTCAAGCTATGGCGAACCCTGTGCTTGACTCTAGTATTATTCCCCTAGTCGTTCAATATATCAAGACTATCCAAATCCCTCCTCACTTTCTACTTCAACTAGTGTCGTTAAACATAGTCAAACACTAACGTAATCGGTAAGCACTGGGCACGTTGTTCACGCGCCTTATACCACTAAAAATGCTTAAAGCATCTTCTCCATTCATTTATCAATCTACATATTATTTATAAATGAAATCCCCCTCGGCTCGTGCCGAAGCATCGGGAACTGCCGACCTTGTCGGCCGGGCCGAACGGATTGGCCCTAAATGCTGCCTGGACGTGGTAATGTCGACACCCTCGTCTATAGTTAGTTATTATCGACCTGCTGACTATTCTCATGTTAAATCTCCCCTGCCAAGATATTTGTCAGAGCTGCACCATACCACCTTCTTATTCAGGCTTACTGTTAGGAAACAGGCACGGTATGCTCCTTTATTCCTTCGCCTAGGCCAGATAGGATATTGCTAACTTTGCCTGCAACTAGAGTCCAATGCAATTTCCGGGTCAGCAACAGTCTTACGGCTGGTCGCCGTTAAATAGAGGCTATGGCAGCCCATATCGAGTTCGTTCTTTATGCACTACAATCACACTCCTTGAATCTTTTTGTTTACATTACACTTGAACTCTTTCATTCACGTCACTCCTTAAGTCCTTTTCTTCACAATATCTCTTGAATCTTTTTGTTTATATTGTTTCTTGAATCCTTTATTCACATTATCTCTTGCGTCTTTCGTTCACCTCACTTTTCTTGAGTGTTCTTATTTATATTACTCCTCGAGTCCTTTCGTTCACGTCACTCCTTTACATCAATTATTTCAACACGTGTATTTACATTATGTTCCGTGAACTTGCATTTATTACTGCGTCGGCATCTCTGGCCCTTGCTGCCACCATCCCCGTGATCCCCCGGGGCACAGGTGCAGGCGTTACTCCTCACGACCAGTACTCGTCCTCAGTCGGCGTTATCGGCTGCAAGATCAACACCAACCGTGTGGCGTATTGGCCGAGCGCAGTCGACTGCAACGACATCTGCGTCAAGGTCACCTACAAGGGCCGCTCCCTCAACATCCTCAAGATTGACACCTCTGGCGGCGCGTACGACATCTCGTACGACGCTTGGAATTACCTCGGCTTCGGTAAATCTGCGAAGGACGACCCGCAAACTGGAGGAGCAATTCATATGACGTACAAGGTCGTTGACCCTAGCGAGTGCGCCGATCTCATGGACAACGGCAAGCTGCCCCTCTCGGCAGCCAACAGCATGGGCTTTGTTTCCTCGTGTCTTAGCCAGCCCGACAGCTTTGTCGCCCAAAACCACGTGCTCTACAACATCGCTGACCCTGTCTGCCACTATGGCGTCGACGAGGTGTGCACCCTCGACCTCTCTGTCAGCAACCAGCCTCGTGTCCCAGCGGTCTCGGCAGCAACGCTCGACTCGACAAGCCGGTGTATAACATCCAGTACGGAACCGGCAAGGAGGTGGTCGCTTAACAGCCCTCTCCACTGTCTTGCGGAAAGCTGTATACCCCTGTCTCAGTGTACATAGTCAAATATACTAGAACGCTCAGGATCGTCAACAGGATCACAGATCCAGTTTCCTGAGGCTGCGAGGTAATTTTATCCCAGATCAGCAACTGCTACAGTTCGAAATCTTGTAAGTTAGGTATATTCGTAAAAAGGCTTTCCAACGTCGAAGAATCATCGGTCAGAGCCTGGATACCCCCATACCACTCTGATTCAATGAGGGTAAATGGGTGTTAAGGATAGAGCCAATCTCGAGAATATCCTTGTTCTCTCGTCACTGATGTAGAAGAATCAAAAGGTATGCCACATCAGGCCCCCCTTCTATAGCAATGCTACACCAGATATATCTTACCTGGTTCAGCACCGACAATGTATAGTGCAGCATTTTGACAGGCTCACGACTGTTTCCCTCGGGCAGCAGGCAAACGATGCGAAAGGGGATATTGGCAGCGTGATGCCACGGGCAATCCCGTGTTACCATTCGTTGCGAGGCTTGTAAGCCCTCCGCGACAGGGACAAGGCCGTTGCTGCATGGTGATGTATTAGTAATTGCTCTATGCCGCCGTTGCCGAGGCGATCCCCACTGAAGTCTCAGCTTCCAACACTCGCCTTTACCACGAACCCTGCAAGATACAAATCAAGCTACAAAATGCCCCAGGACGCAAAGACTGATATCGAGGAAGGCACGCGGGCGTACCGCCCCGGAAGGTTTCACCCCGTGTACATCGGCGATGTATTCAAAGACCGGTACAAAGTCCTGAACAAGATCGGATACGGTGTCTATTCAACAGTCTGGCTGGTGCGAGACCTAGTCCCGGCACAGTGAGTAGGTAAACATGAAGCCGCGTAGGAAAAGAATAAAGCTAACCCAGATACATAGATCTGGCCCTGAAAATGAGTTCCGAGCTCTCAAAGTGCTCAGCGCTGAATGCTATGATGGCATGGAAGCCCCTATCTTTGAGCGGGAGATCTTGACCCATCTCCGACGCGGAGACCGCCACCAGCTAGGGTACAATCACGTCTGCCATATCCTTGATGACTTTGAGCATCGTGGACCCAATGGAACCCACGTCTGCCTGGTCTTTGAACTAATGGGCGAGACGTTACGGAGCTTCGGCGCCTGGTTCGCGGAAAGTAGACTTCCAAACTCGGTGATGCGGAGGTTCACCATCCAGCTCTTGCTGGTTCTCGATTTTTTTCACGAACATAATGTCATTCATACCGGTATGAGGATGCTTTCCATGTGTTCTGGCTTAGCCAGGTGCCACTATGCTGATATCCTTCCAATTCTCCATCAGATATCAAACCAGATAACATTTTTGTCAAGTTCAGGGACTATTCCTTGATAGAATCCGGTTACCTGACCGATGTTGCGATTCCCTACAGGATCGGTCCGAGGAACAGTACTCTGTTGTGCCCTCAACACCTCTACGCCGCTACTACTTCAACGAAGCTGACAGTAGGCGCGCTGCCGAGTTCGACATTGCCCTGGGAGACTGGGGCGTCTCTAGCTGGACGGACCGACATCTCTGCGATCTGATCCAGCCCGTGGCCCTCCGATCACCCGAAGTGCTGATACAGGCGCCGTGGGATGCAAGCACCGATTTCTGGAACCTAGGGGCTGTCGTGCTCGAGGTCTTTCAGGCGGTTCGCATGTTCAGCGGGTCGGTCCCCCCGGACGGTCATTATGAGCTCAAGGAGCACCTAGCGGAGATTGTGGACTTGTTTGGGCCCTTTCCCAATGAGCTTTTGGAGAGAGGCAATGAGAGCCTGGTCCAGAACCTCTTTGATGGTGATGGCCGGATCAAGGACGCTCCACCAATGGATCGGTCGGGACTGGCGTCGGAAGCCTTTATGCCAGGCCTCGACCAAGAGCTCCGGGATGAGTTTGCCTCCTTTCTGCAGGCCATGATGAAGATAAATCCCGCTGATCGGGTTTCGGCAGAGGATCTCTTACGACACCCCTGGCTAGATGCACTTTAGAAAAGATATGAGCTGGCCTGGGAGGACGAAGAGAAGATTCCGTTTCTTAGCCCTAATATTAATACCACTTATCAGTTCGTACACCTACGTTTCTGCAGCATCACGAAATAATTGTAGTCGTGCTATGTTCAAGACTGTCTACGGTGAGCTTGGAGTCTCAAAGCTTTGAGAGTCACGTGGATACCGTTTCTTGTCGCAGAGTCGCAGGGACCGGAGAAACGACGAGCTTCGTCGCATTGTACAGTCGCCGCTCTCACTAGATGCTATTGTAATGATACCTTAATGATACCTGGAGTGGGATCGACGCGACAGCATGAGTTTCTCGTGGCAGTTATATAAGGAACATCGGGTGTAATGTGGGGGATGGGCATATCAACTTAGACTTGAGATCGTGTGGCCCGTATATATTCCTCCGTCGGGCAGGCTCAGAGTACGATCTCATGGGGACTGGTGCGAGACTGGTTCATGATATCCAGGGGACTTCACGACTCGTGACCAGCACCTATCGTGACAGGCAGAAAATGAAGCCATTGGCTATAGACGGCTGGCAGTTGGCTAGGGCAAATTTCAAGGACCACATCTATACAGCCAGGCAATAAAATGCCAGGTTGGTCAGCTGGCCCCACCGTACCCACCACCGCCAGAGGATATACCAGGGTTCTATAGCAAGGAGAAGCTAGGTGTGGTAGCGATTGCAGAGTACAGGTGCGTCTTGGGGATTTGTGAGGGCTTGCCAGCGCCCAAGAAGCAGTTTCACGGGGCAAGGAGGTTGTATCAGCGGGAGCCGTGGAGACGGTGTCAGGAGTGGGTTGCTAAGGCCGTCAATGATTTGCAGGGGGAGGGGGTTTTGGTAGGGAGTGAGGAGTAGTAGCTTCGGGCTGGCTTCTTTACACGGGGGGTTGGGGATGTGCTTTTTTTTCCCCGATACTATACTGTGTATAGTAGTACTACTACCCCAACCGCGTGTTGTTTAAGTGCGACCAAGCGGACGGGATGCCCCCTTTTCCCCTACATAATGGTCGTATGTGACAAACAAAATTGTTAAAGTTATCTATAATCTACCGTTCTGGTGGACTCGGCCATCTCGTAGGAGGCGCGGGTAGATGTGCCTAATGATAGTAAAAGGCTTGTTAGGTGAGCTTACACGTGGAGAGTCTCGCTTCCCCATATACTGAAAGGCTCCAGTGATTTTCTGCAAGCAGCACGGATAGGTTAGTTATACCATTCTTACTCTGGATTCATCACTCTTCCCCATCCCAAGTTAAAGGGTCCGACATGATATCTAAGACCACGCCTGCCTTCTGAGTCTCCACAGCTAGCGTGGCATACTGCTTTTCGTCCAAATCATCCACATCGATCGGCCAGGATAGGTAGATTTCTTTAAGAGCAGGCACCTGAGAACCCTTCCTGGCGGCAAAGTCACGGAACAGCATACTGAGGGCCTTCTCCCAGCCGTCCATTCCATGCGAGATCAAGGACAGCTGAGATACCGAAGCAGGTATGAGGTCACCCAGAAATAGATCGAAATAGTTTGATTGGTGTTCTCCCGATGCATGGAGGGTGCACATTGTGATTTCGAGGGGAAGCTCAAGCTTTTCCAGCCGACAAAACCCGCGCATTGACACTTTGCCCGGAATAATTGAGCCGCGCATTTCATTAATCGAGATGGAAAGCTCCACGAGGTGGCTCCCGGTCTCGCGCTCGATTGCTGTAACGAATCGGCAGAGATCCCAATCCTGAAGGCCACCGTTGTTGTTGGTGGTATGCGAGTATCTCAATGTCTTGAGGTTTGGGGTATGCTTTAGAAAGCCCGCTATGGCCTTGTCATCAATAGAAGCGCTCATAAAGTGAACCGCTTCAAGTGCTTGGAAGCCATTGGGCAGATATGCAGACGTGATGGCCCCATATCCGTCGCCTGTGCCTATGCATCCGAGACCCCAGAAGGACCGAACGTGCGGCAAGGTGAGGAAACAAGTTGCCCAATCTAGATGAAAACTTTCATCAATATCACGCGAGGCTGATGCCTCGAATCTTGTGACTTGAGCCATGCTCGGCTTGTGGTGAGGGATAGGTGCCCGCCTTGATCGGCGCATAATAACTTCGAGAAGCTTGTTAGTTGCAGCGATCGGTTTCCACTCTCTTGGTAATTTGAGAACCTTAAGATTGGGTAGGAGTGTCAAAACAAAAGCCGCAGCATGTTGTGAATAGCGGGCGGCGTCAAGATCATCTTCAATGGCTGCGTAGTATTCTTGCCATTCAAGGCCTGCTTCCCGTAAGTATGAAGACTCAGCTAGCAGTTTGGTCACAGCTTTATCACGACTGGCATCGGTGGCAAATGTGCGGAATATGCCCGTAGTGAATTGACCGTCTTTCTCAAAATCTGCCTCTCCAATGTAGTGGGCTACTGTCGGCTCGACCGCGATGCGTGCAATCAGATTATATGCAGAGCAGGCTGTGTAGGGAAGGCTGAGCAAGGACAGCTTATGCTGGACCACTAGATCTGTCTTGCCGTACTCAAACCTCTCGAAATGCCAGCGTAGTCGATTGTGGTGCTTAATATGCGGGGTACAGAGTGCATACAGATGCTTGCAGGTTAGGGCCAAGCTCTCAAACCCCTCGGGCAAGGAATGCAGGATAATATTTTCCAGGAGCTCATTTGGCAACTGCGTGAACACAGCCATGGTGGTGCTAGGATATGGATGGAAATGACCACAGGCGCGAGGCGAAATTCCCTTTGACCATCCGACGAAACACTATCAAACACCCGAGCGGCACTGAAGAATTACTACCAGAGTCGCCTGACAGTAGTTGCTTACTCCAAACAAAAGCTGCAGAATACTACCTTAGTAAGGGGCTGGAGGGATTTTAGCGTGTGGGATAGGACCCACCAACACACCAGCTGCGGTCCCGCGGAGTATAAGTATCCTCCGAATACGCATCCAGATTCCACGCAAGGAGGTCGATCTTAAACGGCCCCCAAATTGTCAGTCGATCCTGCCGGCCTGAGACATGCGTCAATCTGCATATGCGGCTGCTTCTGTGCAATTCGGATCCGACTTGCATCCGACCGTAGATCTTGAAGAAAGTCCTTTGTGTATTTTGTCAATATATTGTTTTTCTGGGAACCGGTGCTTCGCCCAGGCGATGTCTATAAAAGTCATGCCAGTCCCGTTGATGCTTGAGGAAATCAGCTCAGTGCAAAGTCTCTCATTATTTTCCATTGCCATTGCCTAGCAGATCATATTCCATACAGGAGTAATCTGCCCACCATGCATATACTCCCCTACATGTTACCCGTTCTCCTGACGGCGTCGGCAGCCAGTATTCCCCGCAGTAAAACGGAGCATGTGGACGATATCATGGTGTACCTTGACGGGCCTACTGCCGATGGATCGGCAGGCATAGGCGTCGAGTTGGAGAGTCCATTCTTCAAATTTGCACACCCAGGCTGTTCGATGGACGACACCAACGCGGCAAAGAAAGCAGTGGTTGACAAACGCCAGGGCACAAACTGGTTGTTGACGGCTGACACGGGGGTTGACCCCGGAAAACTCAACGCCGAGTTCATTTTTGACGGCCAAAAAATCAAAGTCGGGACTGGAGAGCTTGCAAAGGCTGGAAAAGCAGCAGCAGACGATCTGGTAAGAATTGTATGAAGTCCCATCATAACCTCTGTCCTATTAATCCGCGTCGCCAGATAAAATGGTACCCTTGGCAAAAGCCGCAGACTGAGGTTCAGATTACGAATAACAAGTGCAACCCATGGAAAATTACTAGCCCAACCAGCAAAGATAAACCAGACATTGTGCCGTGGGACCCTCAGGTCACTGCGCCAATGCCACTTGAGGCACTGTACAGCATTATGCAGATGCATAAAGACAACAAGGCCCACGTTCTCAACGGGATTATGCTTAGAACAGACTATTCTATCCTCGTTACAAAGCCATACTTCACCCCTGTCAAAGAAATTAAGCCGGCCGCGCTTTCTGATGATGTGCTTGCATTCTGCTCCTTGGTCTTATCATACGCGAAATCCTTGGACGGCAAACCACTTAAGCCAGACGAGAGTCCTAAGCTGCGCACACCCTTCATGCCTCGAAATGATTTTGTGACACTCTACAACCAAGTCGAGTCAAAGCTCAAGGGGATTCCTCTTTTGCCTCTTTTTGAGAAGCTCGCATGCTACAAGGTCTCCGCTGGCAAGCTTGCGTAAGTAATGTCACATCTCCTCTTGCTCCGTTTGCCTAACTGACAGATTGCAGGCTTGACAAGAAATTCTGTACTGGGACGGCCAAGGCTCCAGTGCCGAACAAGGTGTTTGCCGGCCTCACGTTCAAAAATACGGCTTCCAAGTCTCCTGACGCCACCCTGACCGTCAAGGCCTGGATTGATGGAATTGCCGCCAAGAAAGACTTGCTTACCGCATTTGACAAAACTATTGACGGTTCCATTGGAGGCCTTGGATCCAAGACGGAGAAGATGTACCAAGGGACTCGCAATGTGCCTTTGTTCGAATTCCGAGACCTTAAGGACATCACAACTTCCGGAATCGAGAAGTTTATGACTCAGGTCGACACGGCTGTCCAAGATCTCCACAAGAAATACAAAGTCGCTCCTAAATAATGTCCGCGATCGAGCAGCAGTGGAATCCAGCTCCTTGGATTGAAGACGACCGGTGGTGGGGTGAGACTCGGTCCCATAGATCTTCCATATAGTGGCTGTATTATTATTAGAATTGTTTGTATTGTACTATAGTCAAAGATATTCGAACGTTTATGTGGAAAGCTCAATCTTATAATTCCATAATCCGTGGGACCCTTTTACAGGATTGATTAATCGTTTCAGTCGTGCTGCCGTAGTGACATGAATATACACTCCTATATGAGCCCGAATTTCTAGAACAACTGTAGATATTCTCCTCTATCCATTGTTGGTCTAGTGAGGGTACTCAGTCTAACAACCAGAGCTGTGGAACAACAGACCTAGGTATTTCTGGGCCTACTCCTGCTAGCTCACGTCAAAAATTGATGGAAGAATTTGAACCCCTTCCAAGGTTAGTTATACACTGCACAAGCCACGCACTAATAGCAAGTCCAATCAGAGGCCTTCGGAGGCCTTCGCAGGCGCTCAGGGGAAGGACTGAAGATAGGGCGGTACTGGTGCTAAACCCGTATCAGCTAAAGAATAAAAAGAAAAAAGTATAATAGGCATTGGCACTGGTAATGGTACCTAACAAAGATCCTAACTCCTCCAGAATTTTCCTTTTTGAAGGCAGACTGACTCGCTGGGCTGGGTTGCAGTGACAATTGGAGGCTGCGTCATCGGAGATAACACCGTCCGCTTTGTGATTTTGTCGAAGGCTTCGGGCAGTGCTGAGAAGTCTTTATATCTAACCGGTACGTTGCGGTTAGGTTGTATATATATATTGTACCGCCCGTGGTTAACCAGCGGTTAACCTAATTTTAACCTTAACCTAGGTGGGTTAAACATTTTTATACCTTTACCTAACCGACCCCAGTTAGGTTAGGTTATGGCTAGGGTACAACGGTTAGGTTATGCCACTCTAGATGACTAGGAAGAAAACATTATCTCCGCTCTCTCACTGTACATCCTTGAATATTTATTCCACATTCGTATTTTTGGTATTCCAATGCATTAACTGCTCGGTGAGTCTTTTTAAGTTTAACCTAGCATGTTATCCACAGGGAGTGCCCACATCGGTTACCCTTCCAACTGGCAACTCCCCCGGGAATCGATAACATTTCTTAGGAGCATCCGGAATTCCCGTTACCACCTTCGTCCTTCCACGGCAATTTCGCATTCCTAAACGAAGGCTAAAAAACGGGGTCACGGTTTTCTGTTGAGCCTGAGTGTGGAGTGGTTCAAATCGACATATTTCAAACTCTCCAATTGAAAATCCATTCCATATATTGATTCTAGGTCATTTTACAAGGAGATCACCCAGCCTCGTCACCTTCGGGATCCGTCCCTGCCACCACATCACAACAGCAGTGGTGATCCCGCCCAGAGTCAGGGCGGTGAGAGTCAAGTTGCGCAGACATTGCACGGAGCGCTTTTTGATGAGTTTATTTGCGCGCTCGGCGTAATCGCCTGGATTATTGGTTCGGGGAAAGGGCTCGTTCGGAACAGGCTTGTCGAGAAACTATTTCTATCATTAGCTATGGTTTTGAGAATAATCCAGATTCTTCCAAGTCATGCCTTGCAAAGCGGCTCCCAGCCATCCTCGACGGACCACTCCAGCAAATTATCCTTAGGCACCATCCCCCGGACCATATTGCAGTGGTCGCGATACACCCACTTTGCGTTTCGCTGGATACCGTCTTTGGTGGTGCCGCTGTGAAAGATGCCGGGATATCCATCTCTTAAGTAAAGACTGTACAGCCAATGAAACTCTGCGGAGAACCACTGCATCGCCCACATCACCCATGATTGATCGGCCTCTTCGATGATAGTTTTATTGATGCTCCGGTACCAGGCATTGGAATCGGGACGCATGTTGAGGACCACCTTGGCGTCTGGGTAGGCGGCGAGCAGCTCGGGAGCAAATAAAATACACAACGAGTCAACCACCGCTTGACTATCACCGACAAGAATGTCGAACTCCGCGCTACTAATGTGCACGTCGCCATCGCGAGCCCCTTTGTATTTCCGCCGCACTAGCTCAGCACATAGTTGCAGCTTGCTGCCATCTGGCTCGAATACCAAGTCCCAGCCATGATATGTCTGCAGGCCCAGAGTTCGCAAGGCCACGCTTAACGACTCGGTTCCGGTGCGTGGCAAGCCCAAGCAAAGCACCTCGACGGGCTTGGTGCGTTTGTGCGGAGCCGGCTCGGGGAATCCGTAGAGTAAACGTTGGAGGGCGTACATTGGGGCTCCAAAAACATAAAGCTGGCGTGAGCTTAGGAAGAACCCTGGGAGAGGGCTTCCACATCATATGTAGTAGCTATGATCGGTCACATGATTCTTAGGGCGGGTCGATTGGGGGGCCTGAGTATGGGTTTGGGGGCCTGAACCTAATTTCCCCTTGCTTTTTATCGATTTACCAGACCTTCTTTATGCGAAGAGAAATATAGATACATATATATTTATACGAGAAGATTCGGGTGTGTTTTTATTATGCAGCGATTCACTAAACCCAGAGATAAAAGGGGATTCGACCAGGATGGGTGGGTAAGAGCAAGAATATGGTGCTTGGAATGCTCAGCAACTTGGGCGCTACGCGTGGGTAATGTGGAACTACCAGGGAGACTGATTGGTGACGGCAGCACACGAACTAGCCAATGAAAGCTATCCTGATGGCGAAAGTGCTACGAGTCGAACGCAAGATCGAACATCCATGCCATCCAATACGGTAAAACCCCTCTATAAGCAACCCGGACATAGGGAATCCTCCGATATAAGCAATCCAATCGGTATCTGAAATCAATTCCCATATAAAATTCTTAAAACCTCGATATAGGGAAAATCTATGAATCTCCCTACTACTCCATACTAGTGGGTCCTTTCAGCCAATTATATAATTTTTTAAGAAGTAAATAATCACGTGCTTTATTATTTATTAGTAGTAAACCTTACGCGTACAGCACCTCAACTGCAAGAATATATAGAGAGAGAGAGAGAGAGAAATGTATTATACCCGAATGCAGCCCGTTCTAGGGCTTTTCTTAAGTTACCGATAGTTATATTATGGAACCTGTGTCACTGACCTTGATCTATTATAGGTACTGATAGGAAGCAGACCAGCTACAAGGATTCTTGACAAGAGAAACTATTAGAATGTGAGATAAATAAGTGTTGTAAAGCTTATATATGTAAGCGCAGTACAAAGCCTTTAGCTTTATATCCTAGTCTTTTACCGATAGTGCAGCGGTCCAAGTTCCCAAATGCACCTGGGAGCCGTCCCGTGACGGTCTTATGTATCTAAAGAAAGAAACCTCGATATATTATCATGGATTTTAGTTTATTACTTGCTTTCGGTAGCTTTACTTTACTTACAGTATTTCTGCTAGTGCTTTTGTATATTTGTAGTAACCGGAGAAAAGGAAATAAATCTAAGGCAGAAAACAGAGAAATACACTGTTAATTAGCTGTTGGCAATAGGTGACAAGTCTCCATTCTTCAAGTACACGCTGTAAGTGGCGTCGCATGTTGGGATTTACTTTCTTCCTAGGCCCAGCGCGCATACTTCAGGGCTCGCAATATAAGAACTATGGTTATTCTCCGAGATATTGGATAATGACTTATTATGTGGTTATTTCTATCAGTTCCTATCAGGGTGCCATAGGATGTATGTACATCCACAATTAGGCCGCTCACATCGCTGCAAAATTCCTAGCTAAGAATGCAAGCAGGCTTTCTGGTGACAGCACTTTGGATAATTGTTGCCAACAGACTTTGGTATGGAACCCCATTCTCTTCGGCACTCAACGGCAACGGAGAATGACCGGGAAGAAGGCCGGAAATAGGATTCAGCTATATGACATTAGATAAAATGGTCTATGTTAAGGTGAGATCGACATTGGTAGGCCTACCTCTAGAATGTTAGGGACAGCATCGTGCTCATTGGAGTTAAATCGAATGTCGACACGCCCAGCATCGCGGCAGCCCAAAGTTCTCCAAGCGTCCAATGCAACCTGGCAGGCAACCTTGACCTGTGGTTCAGTCATAAGCCCAGGGTCATTCCGTCCTACCAGCATGTTTGCGTCGCTGCACTTGCTCTTTCTGCTGGCAAACTCTAAACTGCTGGAGCTTCCGTTACTTCCGTTACTCTTACTGGAAGGACTTTGCCACAGGAGCTCGTTGACGCCAACCACATAACTCTGGACACCAGTTCCCAGAATGCTCACCGAAAGCTCCCGTCCGGATAGAAAAGGCTCGACCAGGATATCTTGGTCGGGGAATTTTGATCTTAGCTTTTTGACTGCCGATCCTAACTCTGCAGGTTCTGTCACTTTGTTAAATCTGTCGATCCCTTTAGACGATCCTTCGATAACTGGCTTTAAAAAGAGTGGATAGTGCGGTAACATATTGTTAAGTTTCTCAAGTTTCACTTCCTGATCCTTCCGTGAGATCACCGCGAATGGAGCGGTGGGTATGTTATGATGAGCTAGAATGATCTAAGTGGCCATGTCAGTTAGCGGGGCCTTGGTGTTCAAGTGATGACCCAATAGATACGGTACCTTGGTATGGACCTTGTTCTGACAAAGCGCCATCGTGGCAGCGTCAGAAAAAGTGTAAGGTAATTGGTAGGCATCTAACAGCGCTGGAACCTGGGCTTCCCTGGATGGCCCATGAAATCCTTGTGCGATGTTAAATGCCAGATCCCAATCCTTGTATGTACCAGCCGCTAGGTGTTTGACAAGGGATTGGAGTCCTGGGACTAGTGTGACATGATGCCCAAGCTCTCGCAGGGTAGACAACACAGTATCGACTTCACCGTTGTGTGGTAAAGCTGCACATTCTTCTTCCGAATAACCTTGGTTGTGGAAGGTCGACCGTTGTTCGGCGATTAAGGCTATATTAAGAGAAGGTGTGTCAGACATGGCCGGTCTTCGAATGGCATCCAATATCGTATTGAGATAGAGAAGGAATGGAAAACTTCCAATTTACACCCCAAGTACATGCGCTATTTAAGGATCTCTATGTTCGTATGTCTGCCTGAGGGAAAATTTAAATTCGACTTTTATGACCCACCAACTTCAGCTGGCCACTTTACACAGTACCAGCGATCTCTAAGAGAATCTGCTCTACCAGGGATCTACACGACTAGACCTCTGTACAAAGGGCCCATCAGGTTGATATCCAATTCTGTTCCGGCCGTAGTGACAAACCGATTACCAGTATATTGAAGTTGGTAAGGGGTAACCCGCATTAGGATCCGGCCTACTGTTACTTTCTCTTTGTCTAGTCATTATGCGCATTCGAACAAATTCGACCACTTCTTCAATAACTTAGACACAGATAGATTACCTGAGTGGGAGATCTGGAATTTGGTGATATTCTGGAACTTTACAATACGAGTACTAGCGTGGATATGTTGAAGCGAGGAGGAACCAGCTTGAGCAAACTCTTGTGGGTCGCGCAGATCGCGCAATGATGATCGTTCAACCATCGATGTTCCTTGAACTTTACAGAGAATTTGCCGAGCCATTCCACCAATGGAGATTCTATATAAATGACACGGTGGTGCTGAATTGGTCAAGCTGAAAGGGTCGAGGAGAGAGTGGCTAAAGTCAAATTAATGAAAGCTACGTAGTCACGGGCTGAACGATCTTGAACGCCCAAGGGATTGGAATTGTGAGGAAATGTCTTTATCTGTATATTAAACATAGGAATATAGATATATGAATAGGCTGGTGTAGAATCTAGAGGCGGATGATGTAGTGGGGTGACACGCCCTACCTATCACATGACCCTATGTTCTATGTATATTAGGTAGCCGCTCGCCATAGCTCAGAGAAATCAGACGAGTTCTCCATTCTTCCATAGTACCGCACCAGCCGGTGGTGCAGGACTGTATGTGCGACTACATGATCAGCGACCATCGGAGATGAGATAGAATGGCGGTGTGACCGACGCACCCGCTTTACAAAGGCATTTACTCTGTAGTTGAGACCACATTCTAGATCTAATAGATCTTCCAGCTCAGCCAGCCACTCTGTTGAGTGTAAGATGCAAAATAGAAACTCTATCCACTTGGGTGGAAGCTGAATCGTGAGCTACCCACACCACATGGGTTTAACTTTTGGTCTACAACAAATCATCCTTCACAGTGGGGCTAATTCTGCCCATCTTTCTCTCCCTATAGCTTGTTACTTACCCAACGAATGGAAACAGTATTTAACTGTTTGTGTGTGTGCGTGCCTACACCCGGACTACCCCTCCATGCTGCAACATTAAGATGGGGAGTAGAGTTGTTATCGGATCGGGTTTTTGATCGGTAAACCCGCACTCGCCCCGAACCCAGGCCAATTTCGGTCAACCCAAAAAAACCCCGAAACCTCCCCCACCATGCCTAGATTGGTAAGGTGCTGCTTAGTTATCCGTCACCTTGCCTATATGGGCTTAGGCCAGAACCTTAACCCGATTTTTAAAGCTCCATCTCTTTACCAGCACCTGAAAAGAATTTGGTGCATTAGTTCCGTTCCCGAACGAGCTCCGAATGTTTTCTACTTAAATGATCGGTCAGACTGCCCCCATTATGTCCGAGTGCCGGTATATACGAACCCTTCAGAGCCTCCCATGTTACGGCATTTATACACCGCCCCCAAGAATAAAGGTAGGAGCAACTACAGAAGGCCATCCAAAGGCGGACCAATCATGGTAACTACTGATCTTTTTACCCACCATATCCCGCTAACCGAGTGGTGCTCAAGGTCATCGCGCTAACTGATTTCTCCGGCGGATCAGAATACTGATTCTTTATGATAATGTACTTTTATGTCTACTGGTTTGCCTATGTTAAACCAGCCTTTTATGTAGGTATCATATCCTCTCTTGACAGTATCAATTCTGCCATAGCTTTTCCTTCAGTTCTTAAGACTATATAACTCAAATGGTCCTCTTTATACTCTGACCAGGGTTTTCATATCACCCACATGGTGACTGGCTCTTCTTATAATATATCAATTTCCTTGTCTCATCATCTCCTCGATGGTGTGTTCTTTGAAAGTGTACAATCTTTCTTCATCGCCAACTTGCGGATTCAATGGTTCGAAGGCAGTTCGCAATAAACCAATACGAAGACAAGCCTTCTCACCACCATACTAGAAAAGGAGCCTCTTAGCTCATCAAATGTGGGCTTAGCACGTTGCGATTTCAATACCTAAGTTGACCTATGTTGTCCTCACCAAAAGACTGGTCGCCACCAGCCGAGATCTTCTAGCGACCATGTTTGACAGCTCGATGACGGTTATTGGACTCATCAGCTCGAGTGTTTGGACGTGGGCCTCTAATCATGTTAATATCTAATTGCGAAGTTGTACCGCAATGAGAGAGTCCATTCCATAGCTCGATATTGATCGATCGGTGCATACTTCATGGTCTGGCAGTGCAAGCAGAGAGGAAAGCTTCATCGTTATTGCGGCTTGCGTTGCTTCCTCGACTTCACCTACCGTAGGTGCTGATCCAATTACTGCTGGGATATCGGCTTCTTTTGATCCAGTCTCTGTACATGCTTGGTGGTTTGGTTTCGTCCACATGTGCGAGAATTTAGGATCTGGGCGCTGCAGATGCTTCTTTGGCAGAAGAACTTGGATCAGTTCGGCTTGTGCCGCAGACCAGCTGCGCCGCCGAAGGCTGGATGCTAAGGGATTCTATATCGCCTCGTTGACTGTGGCCAGAAACCCCTCGGCCTGATAGGACTGCCGTCCTTGGAGAATGACAAAGTCAATGGCATCTTGGTTCTCAGCTGTGTGGCCATCTCCTTCCACCGCGCCAACATCGATAGACCGCGCTGGCAGACCAAGAGACGCTCTATGGCGAGCGAGAGGGTCCTGGAAAGTGTTTCCAACACAGTAATTACCCTGGGTATAAGATGCAATGGTCCCAGCAAGGCTCGAAAGGAAGATGAAAACATCTAGAGTGTCGCCGAACACTTGGTGCAAATTCGTCGTTCCCATAACTTTCGATTCCATTGCAGCCTGCCACTGCTCGTAGCTCATATTGTCCACCAGAGAGTCATGTTTCCATTCACAACTTCTGTATTACACAAACATATTTGTGACTTACCTGGAGCACCATTGCTCCTTGGATGATGCCTCTGATCGGAAATTCTCTGGCCTGATCCTTAATCGTCTCGAATGCGACAGTGTCCGTAACACTGCCTTTTCAAAAGATAACCTTGAACCCAGTAGTATGCATATCGTCTACCAATTCTCTCATAAGCGGACCGTGAGGACCAGATCGAGACAGGGTTACGATGTGTTTTGCCCCGAGACTCGCAAGGTGCTTGATAATAAGTCCTCCAGGGCCGCCAGTACCGCCCATCTCCAGGTAGGAGCAATCCCCTTTCAACTTAGGAGCCGGTGGCTTTTGGGGTTGGACCTGCAAGCCGGAGTCAGCAAGATAAATATCAGCATTGGTAGAAGTATACACTTACAGGAAAGGTCATCTCAGGGTCCAGGTTGAGCAGCAGTCTCCCCATATGTATACCAGCCTGCATCATCCTAAATGAAGCCTCTAGCTCTGAGAGACCGTTAATTGTTAGAGGACTCAGGACTTTGATCTTCTGCTTATTGGCCAGGTCGAAGACACTGCGGTAGAGTTCTTGGTGGAAAGCCGGCTTCCTCTTCGCAAGCAGCGTCAAATCAACGGTAATGAGAGAGGCGCTCCTTTCCAAACATCCTATTTTGAGCCTCGCATTGGAGATTATATCTTTCTTTCCAATCTCGACAAACCGTCCGAACGGCGCAAGGAGAGAGCAGCTCCTTTGTAAAACATCCTCGCTGAGTGAGTTGAGAACGACGTTGACACCATGATACTTCGTCTGACGAAGAATCTGATCGAAGAAGCCGAGGTCGGGGCTCGAGAATATGTTCTCGTTTGGGATCTGAAATTGTTCTCTCACTAGCGTTCTCTTCTTCGCGTTGCCTACTGTGACGAAGATCGCGCCGGCTTTGAGATATTGAGCTATGGAAATAGCAGCTTGGCCCACTGCTCCAGCTCCAGAATGAATTAGACTAGTCTCTCCCTCTTGGAGATTCGCAACATTCCTCAGCGAATACAACACTGTCGTATATGCAGTGGGAATGGCGGTGGCAACTTCTATCGGTATCGTCTTGGGGAAATGACGAACATTCCACGGGACAATGACGCTTGTCATTGTGAGGCCGTCCCAATGGGTTACGTAGACTGAATTGCCGACAGCATACTGATCGTGGAGTGCTTGACCAAGCTCAACAACTTTCCCGCTACCTTGCAGTAGCATGGCTGTGTATCCGCCCAGTTGGCCCATTGCGACCATGATGTCTTTGAAGTTGAGAGAGACATATTGGAGCTCCACCCGGACTTCTTCTGCTCCAACCCTCTGCGAGTGCTGCTCAGAACCGGCCCAGTAGTGTGAGTCAAGAAGCCCAGGTTCGTGGATCCTGAGGGTCGAAGCACGACGCGACTTAATCCCTGTTTGGTCTGGGGATGGTATGTCGATGTACTGTCTTTAACGTATTCATCGGCTTGGTTGTTATTGATTAACCGAGGTATAATAACCTCACCATTGCGGACCGCGTATTCAAGTTCCAACAAGGCCGAAAATTTGAGGAGCAGATAGACCAAATGCATGGTCAAGCACGCCAATAACTTGTCCAGCAACCTGGAGCCCTGATCCGTGATTCAATTCCAGATCTAGCGTGACGACCTTGGCAGACAGGTCTTCTGATCGCAGGCAGCGCGTCAGGCCGACAATGGGCAACTGTAAAGGGCTTGTGCAGTCAACTGCACCTCCAGAGGTGACTCATAAAATGCCAGCAGCGTTAGAAAGCATATGCCGTACTTTTTCCCACTCACTCTTTGAGCATGTTCCGAGGAATGGGTTGAATACCTCTAACACTACTACTGCTAGCTGATCCTCGGACACGTCCGCCTCAGCCAATAAAGCTTTCTTCACATGGATGCTGGGCTTGACAGAGGGCAATAGGTCGGCCACATGGCCTGCAATACGGTTATTCTCTTGGCTACCACTGACCACAATTATGGTTTGCGGAGAGCCCCCTATTAGGTCCGTCAGGAGCTTTGTAGGTAGAAAATCCTGACTTAAGTCCAGGAGAAGCGCGTTCTGCAGTGGAGAGTTCCAAAGCGGTTGACATTCTTCCCATAAGGTTCCGTTTACTCAAAAGGCAATGGCCCTGGGTGGCTAGTTGCTGAAGAAATTATGACACTCATCTGATGGTCCTCAACAGAGTCATAGTCATGCATCTCGAAATTAATTCCAGAGAATCCACAGCGACGAAGCCTATCATGCCAGCCAGATATATCGAGAAGTGGAGACTCCACGCGGCTGTCAGTGTTTCCAAGCCATCATCCAGGTAGCATGCCAAATATGACTCCGGAGTGAATCTGCAGAGCAGTGACCTCTATCAGAGCAAGCTCACCATTTAATTTCAGCAGGTCCCTCACATTTCTCGACGTGGTGTTGATATCACTAGTCGCATGCAATACATTGCTGGCAATGATCAAGTCGTAGGACCCAAGTTCAAAGCCCTATTTTTTCGGTGAGATTTCGATGTCAAGCCTCTGAAACTCTGGAGGCTCATGGAACTTCTCTAATTTCTCCTTTGCATTCTCAAAAAACCCCTTGAGATGTCAGTGAAGGTGTATGTATGTCTCCCGTCTTGTCTTTCCGGAGACGTCGCTGTTGCTATAAAGAGCTTCTAAAATCGACATCCACGTGCTTGCCGTTCCGGCCCCAATTTCAAGGATCCGAAGATTTGGATTTTTAAATTGCAAAAGCTTGATGCATTTGACAAGCTGCTCATAACATGTGTAGTAGCTTTCAGGCTCGTAAAGTCGGTATAGCGGGTCTTTCTGCAGGAGGAGTTCTAGACGATCAATCTCTCCCCGAAGAACACCTTGTAGCCGAGGTGCTATGTCAACCAGAACCTCGCCATAGGTTCCGAGTGACTTGATTTTGGCATTGAGTGCATTATCGATCTGAACTGGCTGGTGACTCTACCCCTATTGATTTCATCCATTGGAGCAAATGAGAAAGGCGGCCAGTGATCTTTTGCTCATCGTCAAGAGAGAGCTTTTTAATTGTGTTTTCAATCACAACTTTGCAATACTGCTCGTACATGCTTGTTACTTCTGTTTTCACTGCATCTGATGAGTCGGGAATACAACGCTCAATGATGCTCTGAGGCTTTGCACAACTCGGGTCAAGGGACCACTCTAATCGATGGCACAGTGATTCTCCAGCCAAATGCTCTGTGGCATTCCGTTGAGTTATTCCGCTTGTCCTAGTAAGTACGAGCCCCTTCATCTTCATGAAAACCTCAGTCGCCCCACCTTCGGAGCTTGAGGCCATTAAATCTGCCACGCATTTAGAATGACCATGACCCCGAAGAGATGTTGCAACTGACAAATCCTTGCCAGGCTGAGGTGGGATCTCGCTTGAGATTCGAAGCTCATCAATTCCACCGGGGACGAAAGTACCCCGCAGGTTGCCTCCAACTCACATGGCCGATAAGACAGCTTGGAAGAAAAGGTCTAATGTCGCTCGCTGAACGCAATGATGTTGCTGATGATTCGATGGCATAATAGCCTGAACGTTCGGAACCCGGATTCGACAGGTCGATGCAGATTCAGATGCTCGACTATGTTACTGGCCTTCGAACGGGCCGCTGTACTCAACGCCCAGGCCTTTGAGTTCTTTGTATAGCTGTTTCAGGATGAGCATGACTTGACTGTTCTTGGCAGCTTCTTCAACGAACGCGAGATAATCAGGATCTGTGATACTTTGCTGGCGCTCGTTAAGCGAAGGATTGCTAACAGTCACTAGACCCCGGCTATGCTCTGTTGATTCTCCGTTGACTGGCACCGAGAGAATTCGGAACTCTTTCCATGAAGCTGAAGATTCTGGTGCTGTGTATGTGTAGGGTCGGATATTTACTAGGGTCTCTGCATGTTCTTCCGGCCATTTCCGTCACTGAGGACTTGTTGCTTTAGAGCTTCCAAAACCATGGTAATATAACCAGCAGCTGGAAAAACGGTTTGTCCTCCAATGCAATGTCCCTTGAGCCAAGGTAATTCCCCAACCCGGAGATAGTGGCGCCATGTGGGTTCAGTGGGTATACTGTCGATGCTAGGTACTCCCAAAAGATCATGTTTAGGGAAGGTCCTATGCCGATATTGAATACTTCGGCGGGACTCGACCCAGTGAGTCGTCTTGTGATGCCAATTGTATGTTGGCAAATTTGTTAAGAGTCGCTTCCTCGCACTGCCATCAAGATCATTTACTTCCCTGAAATCGATGGTGGCTCCTTTACTGAAGAGATCTCCAGCTAGACCTACCGTGGTCCTGCTAGTATCTTGACCCTGCGAAAGCACCAAGTGATAGGTGATTGATCCCGAGAGTTTCAAGCTCTTGATAATCTGTTTAATACGACCTCCCACGGCGGAATGAGGACCAATCTCGATAACGGCAAGTGAGTTACCTTGCTTTTGATTGACTCGCACAGTGCGGAAGACTTCTATTAGAACATCTTCGAAAAGGACAGGGAATGTCAGATTTGTGCCCCAGTACGCCGCATTGAGCTCCTCGCCTCGAACAACCTGCCCAGTGACGGAAGAGACCATTTTGATATGCTTCCCACATTGTGAAACCTTGATGTCTTGTATGGCGCGCAGGTACTCTTCTAGGATCAATTCCATATGATGGGAGTGATAGGCCACATCCACAGCCAACTTGCGGTGGAAAGCATCTCTTTCGGCAAGTCGCCTCTGAATGTTGCTCAACGCTTCATCGTCTTTAGAGTGTGACGCTTGACAGACTGTTGACGCAAGCCACCACCACCTTCCCGGAAGTAGTGTGCTCATCAATATACTTTTTGGCTCCGCCTTCTGAAAGTCTAACAGAAAGCATTCCACTAGAGAGGCCTGGGTTCTGATGTCTCAATAGTTTCATCGAATGCACACGAAAATATGCCACTTTCATACAACTCTCTGCCGTAAGGAGACCTGCTGCGTATGCTGCTGCGATTTCCCCGTATGAGTGTCCGCACACTATGGCGGGCCGAATACCCCAAGACTTGAGCAAGTCAACGAGTGCAATCTAGATGGCTGTGCAGTAAGGCTGAGACAGGGTAGCTTCGCTGATTCGAGAAGACTCGTTTGGTTTACTCAAATCAGCAAGAAAACGCCAATCGGCACCAAGGCGGATAAGGAGGTTCTCTGCTTGTCTCATTGACTCTGTTAGCATAATTCCAGCTCTTCATCATCCTTTTGTGCCTGACCTGAGCCTGTGGCTATCTTCTCCAGACTTTCCAAAAGGTCATCACGAGAGCATGCAGTTACACAGAAACGGAAATCCAGCGACTATCGCCGATCCGAAAGTGTGAAGGTGAGACTGTCCATAGATTCATCAGTGTCAAGCAGGCTGTTAGAAATATGGCGTATGAAATTAGCTGCTAGGGCCACAACACCCCCTTTATGATTGTGCGAGAACGGGAAAATACGCGGCTTCGATATGCCAATTGTTGATAAAGGCTTCAGGGACGTCTGTTGAACCAAATGGCCATTCATGTGCGTTGTTATGTAACTACAGGTCTCAGGAACTTGTGGAACTATATACGGTGAATCTCCGATGTCTTCACACAGTGAACGTATGCGCATTGTATTGTCGAGATAATCGTCGGCTGCCTCTAGGATAACAGGAGCGTTTGTACCTCCATATCCAAAGCTGTTCACTGAAGCGCGCCGGATGGTATTTTCGGGCCACTTCAACATCCTTTTAAGCACCTACGCAGAACGCGTTAGCTTCGACTTGAGAGGCTGTTAAAGAAGCTTTCGTAAAAGTATAGCAACCTACTTCTATACCCCAAGCTTCCAGTGGAATATCGCTGTTCATTGTCTTGAACATGGCATTAGGAGGTATCATTTTCTTCTCGAGGATCAATACAGCCTTGATCAGGCCCACCGATCCAGCCACACTCTCAGTGTGTCCCACGCTAGATTTTGAGCTCCCGACGAGCGGAATATTTCCATTCTGTCTTCCCTTGCACAAGATCTCATTCAGAGCAGTGGCCTCGACTTTGTCTCCAACTGTGGTCCCGGTTCCTGCGTGACGTGTGAGCAAAATCGGCCTCGAACTATCGTAACTAGGAACCAACCATGCGCTCCACATAAGCGGTGTCGTTTGGGCTTGTGCCTGCCTGCTTGTAGGCTCTATGAGTCATCCTAGTCTAAACATCACAAGACGGCATCGTCACTCCAGGAGTGCGACCATCCGAGCAAACTTTGCTACCACGAATTACTGCTCGAATCGGATCATTGTCGCTCAGAGCCATATCCAGACTTTTTGCATGACAGCAGCGACACCTTCCCCTCTTCCGCTACAAAAAGAGCCCACCAGATTCGCATCCAGAGCTCATGTGAGACGGCGTTGCTACTCCCTTGGTTCGCTAATGGCCGTATCTATTGCATCATCGTGATTGCGGTTCCTAGTGCCTCGTTCGATAAAACACTGACACGGCCTACCACAGATACACGCGGATTTGGACTAACATACAAAAGAACAGAAACTCTGACGAGGGATTGGCATGGGCCACGCATAGGTTGGCGACTAGAATGCATGTTTGAACATTCTCTAGACAGACCCGCTCCAGATCCATTTGGAGTAACCGTTTAGCCCCTGTGGTCAACATTAGGGATCGCAGATTCGGCCGACTGGAGACATGAGCCCCCATGGTGCAGATGGCCAGAAGCAAAGCCTTCCCGATTCTCCGGTCGCGAATATCCCTCCACAAAGTCACCCTATGAAAAATGCAATGGGGCCGACCGTGGATCTTGGACAGATACTCCTGGACGAGCAGCTCAACGGACTACGCGTCGGACAGAAGCCCCCCTAGCCTGTTGGACCCATTCTGCGACTCCGCTGGTAAGTTGGGGCGGGCTTGGAGTTTCCTTGTATTAGCCAGCTTGGCCTGAGAGCGGAAACATGGAATATCACGGCGCAGACAGCGGGTACTTGCAGATTTTGGTTACTCAGAATCACTCTCCTTCGCGAGAACACACTTGCGCTTAGCATCTCGACATTGTAGACACGACCTCACCATGAGTGGGTGAGTCAATTGGGAAATCAAATGGGAGAAGTCGGCAAGAGAAGAGTTGGGTAAAGGAAGGGTTAGTAAGAGTCACCCCGCATTTTATATCTCAATATGAATTAGAACTCAAAACTTATCCTCATTTGGATAAGTGATATTACGGAAGAGCAAAGGATTTTTTTTCTAAAAAAGAAAAATAATACTTCTGAAAACTAACTGTTCGAACCTATAGTTCCATAGTTATGCCTCCCCCTCTTCAATTCGTCTCATTTCATCCACCATCTCCCGGGCAAGCTGTCGCGTCTTTCGGTCTAGAGCAGTCACCGTGCTGGCCCATTCAAATCGTTGTCTCCAGAAGGCCCATCGCTCTTTCGACCATCCCTCGGTCCCTGTCCATTTTGTGGGCCATTCCCTGCCCATAGAACCCTCCATCTCATAGATTTCTTTCCCACAAAGCATGATCCATTGGGCTGCACCCGGGATCCATCCGTTGAGGGTTCGTATGTCAATTTCCTCGAGGAAATGATCCCGTTTGTCGTTGTACTCCTCGTCAAGTTCGCCTTCATAATCCTCAATGTACTCATTCTGTAGCGAATCCAGACATTCCTCGATATCTGCATGATGAAATACTTCCCATGGGGCTTTCTCGAGTGTCTTCCTCAAGACCCAACTCGCGTGATGGAGTTGACCGCGGCCCTCCGGACGAATGCCGGTATTATGGAGCTTGGCCGTGAAGGCATTGATGTTAACCCAGCCTTGACGCTTTTGGTCCCGTTGTGTATCGTAGAATGGGTGATCCACATCTACTCAATTAGCTTTTTTAACTCATGGCATTATGGAAGACCTACAATCGAACACAAATTCCACCAAATATTCAGTGAGCCCTTTCAGCTGGTGAAAAACTCCGTTATGATCGGGAAGCCGCTGAAACTCAACTAGAAAATCAAGCAGCCGGTCATTCTGCTCGGTGAACTTCTCAATCGCGTCGAAGAGGAGCGGCCAGAGTGACGTGTAATCTGGGTTTAGATCGGACTGTTGGATGTAAATGGATGCAGCCTGTTGGGCTGCTTTGGATGCAGGAAGGGAAGGGTCGTCCATGAGAGATAGGAGCGCGTCAATCATATGGGCCGGAGGAGGCCAACCATCCTCGCTTTGAGCCTTGAAAAAGGCTATGTATTCGGGATTCCTGATAGGTTTGTGCATGGCGTTGTCAGTTCAATCTCTGGGAATTGTGAGCAGAAGGAAAGGGAGGAGAATCAGTACGAAAGAGGACTAAGGGCGACTCAGAAAGGGGAGGATGAATGAATTTATACCCATCCCTGCTCTTAAGACCAGCGTGGGGCCAAAACTCCCGCCAAGGCTGACTTGACAGCGCAGACTGCTCAACAAATGCAATCAAAATGAATAATCATAACACTCCTTCCATGATTCGGACCCCAAGATGACTGTCATATAATGTTTTTGCCTTATGAAACTCCATGCGGAGGCGGGTACAGAGACACCTAACCTGTATCCTAATGTATGCCCAGCTCTACCATCCAAACGACTAAATATTTCTACATTAGTCCAGTACAGCTTTCGGCGCCATGGGGTGAGATTGTTGACACTTCTGGACTTACTATAGAGGGTGTTCCCTTTTTTGTGAGACCAGTGAACTCGATCTATACCCCTTGTCATACGTTCCTACCCTAATCCCAACGATAATCTCACCATGTATCTGGACCCTGGTCAACATGTAGGATGGCGTGAACGAATCACTGGTTATGATTACTTTGCATGTAAGCGTATCCTTCATCTCACACCAGGAGTTGAAATTAAGATATAAAGACACAATAATGTTCTGCTGTGTATTTTCCGACAGTGCACAACTACCCCATCTCAACAAGCCAGCCTCGGTTGCAAATCCATTCTCGCAATTTATAACTTGTCCTTGGATCCACAATGCCTTCCTTCTTCCACTCCGTTGCTATCATTGCCCTTCTGGCCGTTGCCATACTGAGTGGTGTTGCCAGTGCCTATCCTCAGCCTGCAGTCACCGATGTGAGCGTCCCCTCAGAGAGTTCCACCACACCGATCATGTTATACAAGGAACGTGATGGCGACATCATAAAGCGTTCCAAAACATTGAAAATTGGTGCAAACCCCGAAAAGGCCCATACCTGTCCCAAGACCAATCGCTACGCAACCCCGGTTGAATACTCGTCGGGGCAGCTTCAGAAGGCCTTCATCCAGGCAGCACAGTATGCCAACGATGGTAAACAAATTGGAGCCAGTGAGTGATTTTTATATATTGCACGGTGGACTCCCCTGATCACTCCCACACAGGAAAATACCCGCATTATTTTGGCAATAATGAGAAATTGCCTTTTGACTGTGGAAAGAAGAAGATGGAGTTTCCTCTTGATAAGGACAGCCCTGGTAATGTTTATAGTGGGCAAGCTGTGACGGATCTCCCAGACCGTATTGTATTAGAGGTCAAGGAAGAAAAGAAAGTAACGCGTGTCAAGTTCTGCGGAGTCATGCGCCATGGAAATGATGGAGACTTCCTCAACTGCTCGTAGAGCAGATCGAGGAATCCGAAGAACATGCCCGAATTGGCCATGAAGCCTAGCCAGGCTACAAATAGATACTTGTCTATCGATTAAGCCGAGCGAAGGGATTCTAATATACTGTTGTTGATTAGTTACTACTCACTCTGCTTCAAACGCCCTCACCCTCAATCACTCCTTTCTCACCTGGCTGGTAACAACTGACTGTTACGCTATCCTTGCGTCGATCTCCCTAGCGAGTGTTTCCCTCACTTATGACGTAACGGTGTGAATAGTTCTTCATTTAATGCAAATCACACCGCTAAATTCTGCACAAATCCAATATTTGGTACCGGTTGGATTAGGAAGATCAAAACCGCGCGCATTTATAATCAACCAACAAGCCTGTTATTTCTATTACAAATTCATCTATTGTACTGTTGCCTCACCTTCCTCAAAATAACAATTGATATCTAAGTGTGTGGTTTACTTGAGGTTGTACTTCTACAGAATATGACCTTTAGTTGTACAATGATTCACTGTCGTCATAGATATGCCCCGGATATACTCGAATATTATTTAACACAAGCAAGGGAAACTACAGGCATCGATAGATGGTTATAGGGGGTCGCCTATTCGAAGATTTAATTTATCTAAATTATGGAACTCTACAAGTTATTGGTAAAAAATTCGGCCAATTATTATTTCTAAAAAAGGAAAATTCTGGCATATTTACGCAATTTAGGTTCTACCCGGTTCGAACCTCATCTAGATTGGTGAGAAAAGCTTATTAGGCCCCAGATTGAGCCTCTCGTCGGGTTTATACACAGCTTGCTCTGCGGCAATATTGTTGTTCTAATACATTGTACACCTTCCAAATTTCGCGGCTATACAATACTTGTTTATATCAAATTCAATCACTTCACTTAGCCTAGCACGATGAAGTTGACGATCATTTTTGCGGCTTGCTCTATAGGTCTAGTATTAGGCGTCCCGATTGGAGAACCAGATACGAACAACCTGCCCGCTACCTGTCATAATTCAATGGTGGATGCGAATACTGTACCTATGAAGGTGAGAAACGTCACAAATTATCGGAAAGGCACTTTACTTTTCTTGTTGCAAATTCTTCATGGTCAGCCGAGAGCCAATGAGAGCGAGAGGGCTTAGTGTTATCAATCTCAATACTACTACGGAGTAGTCTAGTGGCTAACATGTACATTGCTTCCCTACTAGGGCCACAAGTAATTCCAATCGGTATCTTGCGAGATTATATGCCCCTTTCGAGGCACAAAACCTACATCGGGAATAGCCTGCAGATGGCCTCCATTTAAGACTTTTTTAGCCCCGGAAAAGGAGATCACATTTCCCGCAGTCATATGGGTACCAGGTGTCGATATCCACATTTGCTTTGTCATTCAGGAGCATCTTACCAATGTACGGTTTCCAATATACAGTAGCGAAGTCCGTCTCGTTCAAGGCGTTGATGTCGTGGACATGTTTCAAGAGGAAGTCGCCAAGCCCTTCAACGGCGCATTTAACCGCCACATAAATAGCATTTATTTCAACTAGTACCCCACACTATAGAAGAGCCCATACAACAGCCTCATCTCCTGACGCAACTGCCAGGTTCAAAACGGCTTGATCTGGCAATGCTCCTCGGTCTAGGAGAAGTCGCATGACCGCAGTCTGGCAGCTTGCAGCTGCAACTTCCAGCGCAGTAACTGAGACTTTGCCAGAAGAGATTGTAGTATTAAGATCCACTCCGCAGTCAAGCAACAGCCGTGACACATTGGCATATCCAGTTTCGGTAGCGCTGTGTATGGCAGTATTAAGCATGCTGCCGTCTAGACCTCGCAGAATGATCGGGGCACCTGAGTCTAGTGAATATCGCACAATCTGCTCATTCGCACAAGTGGCTGCCAGTCTAAGCAAACTTCACCTGAGCACACCGCTGTGGCTTAGCAGCATATGAACCATATCAGAATCTCCTGCTTGGATAAAGTACTCAATGATGCAATCAAGCACAGGAACCTCATATCGCACTAGATGCTCGACTAGTCCGCGGCGTCTATAACTAGCAGCCATGTGCAGTACACTGAACAACATAAGTCGCACTGATATACGGAGTGCCTCAACTGTGTACTCTTTGGCCCCCTACCTGTCAAGCCTGGCCTACTTTGTGAAGTTAAAGAGCGCAATTGACAGCAGAAGCTTGCCTACATCTCAAGCTATTGGTTTGGCTAGCTTATTGCAGGCCTACGGGTATACCCGGTGGGAAAGTAGATACTCCGTTAGGGTCAACATTAGGGTCAGTAAAAGAAAGGGAGGCTGCGTAACGATTGCAGAGGTTGATGAGCGTATCAACTGGGAAAGCTAAAGAGGACGTGTATGTACAGCGTCACAACTTTTCGCCGTTGGTAGCTCATCAGGGCTGGGTTTGATCGTGTCTTTTTAACTTTACTAGCGGAGAGATAGTTGTACCGAATCCGAGTGAGGGGAGTCTCCCTCACCCCTGTTAATATTTCGAAACAGAGCTATCCGTGTCACACGACACACTCATCGTTTCCAATGAGCTTCGTTGGTATGCTGTTCTGACTCGTGTCGCAATGCCAACCTTTATTATTAAAGGCGAGCAGCGAACCACCTTTAAATCTTTCGACAGGGATATCAGCCTCCTGTGGAACTATGACGGTAGTTATCCGCGTCATAGTCGGGTAGACAATCATCCATCGGACCAAAGTCCGCCCGTCGGACTAACATCCATCCGGCCGATCATCGGAGGCCGGGGGCACGATAATCCGCACCGGCACCGAATGTTAGCCGACGGACCGGATAATCCTCTATCCCGAAGATTAGGGTTCATCAGATTAGGGTGCAGAGGGTTTGAATCTCTCCAAGGCCATTCCAGTTCGGCGCACCCTCCAGCAATAGTGTTGAATGGAGTGTACAAAGGTCTCCAGAGGTCGGAAGAAGTCTGAAAGGTAGACGCAAATCATGACTTGAGCGATCCCTTATTTTCGACTTACAGGAGCTTTAAGCCGGGCGGACGGTGGGCTCCCAAAGTCAGGAACTTTAAGACCAGTACCTCATTTCTGGTCACCTCATGGTGTTTCTCTAGCGAGCTAGTCGCCGCAACCCCGGTTATCCGATATCCATGCGTTTCGGTAATCGTTCAGAGGTCAATCCCTCCTGCCAGTCGTGACTTCCCGTACTCCACAATGTCCGGAACATTCCAACCTTAGATGCCGCCATGGCACCCGAAGGCCGGTTAAAACACATTCAAGAGGGTTGGAATGCCCCCATCTGCCCAAGCGAACCTAGGGCTAAATATTTTCTACTGTGTTTCGGACTCCAACATGGAAAAGTGTAACACCGTCTTGTTCCATATCGATAGTAAGTCACCAAGACTAGTATACCGACGGAGACTTCGAATAAGCGGTTGTTTAAGACTGTCAGGTAGCTCTTTTTCCTGAAACCAATGTCTTCTCGCTTGTCGAATAATCTCTTCAACGTTTATGTACTTCCACACTGGATTATACTGTCCGGACAATATAAGAGGCGCTTCCTGTTTCTCACTCTTTTCCTTGGGAGCAAGGTATAGGGGCCGTTGTTCGTAGGACACTTGACGGAACCAGTTATCCAGTACTTTAAAAGGATACCCTCTCCTTCGAAGATTACCATAGAACTGTGAACGAGCATCTGCAAAATACCCGACTTCTGAGCTAACTATGGCAAATCGTATGAGCTCTGCCTTGACGAAGACCTTCTTCACATATAGAGAATGAGCTGACGACTATGGGATGTACAAGTGCTTATTCATTGGTTTTTTAAAAAGACGGGTGGTCAATTTGACTCCTGTCAGGTCTCTCGTTCTCATAATTTCTATATCAAGGAACTCTATCTTCACCTTTGAATAAGCCCAGTTAACAGTAAGTGGACCTAACTTGAATTCCGCAATGAATTCTGTCAACTCTTTTTCAGTTCCACAAAAGATCATGAGTACATCATCGATATACCGCATGTATTTCAATACTCCTTATTTCCAAGGGATCCTTTGTTTGCGTTCGTAGTATCCAGCGTAGATATTGGCTAATACGGGAGCAGAGGCCGTGCCCATAGCCAACCCTCTAATTTGCTGGTACAATTGGTTTTGGAATCGAAAGTAATTGTTTTG